ACTGAGGGGCACCAGCAGAGATGGGGTGGGCAGGGCTGGGCTAGGCTAGCAGAGGCTGCGGGTCGGGAGTGAGGAGCACCGGCCACACTCTGTTACTCACGTCAATCTCTGGGTTGCAGGGTCCGAGCTGGCTCGGGGCCGGGACGATGGTTTTGGCCTCGGGTTTGGGGGCGCTGGGGGGGAGCCTGGCCGGGGGGCCCTCCTTCCCCGGGGGCTGCACCTTGAGGAGCCCCGAGAGCGGGAGGTGCAGGAGGTCGCTCTGGGAGATGACGACAGACGGTGCTGGGACTGCGGGGAGGGATGTGGGTCAGTGTCCCACACACGCACCAGCCCCGAGTCCCACGCCCCCGCCCCGAGCCAGCCAATTCCTGCCCTGAGGCGCCCCCTAGAGGGGACCAGCCCCGTGCCCGTACCTGTGATGGCTGGCTTGAGGGGCTGCGGCTGGGCCCCCGGCACCGTCTGCAGTAGGATGGTGGAGCTGGGGGTGGCCGCGGGCTGCACCGGGACGGTGGCCACCACCACCGGCTTTGGCTGGATGGGTGGCTTCCGGCTCAGGATCGACTCAGCCTTGATGGGAGTCACTGGCTTCCCTGTGAGAGAGTGCAATGTACTTCCCCCAGCGCCCCCCGCAGAGCCAGCCCCTTGCCCCGCTCCCCCAGTGCCCCCCGCAGAGCCAGCCCCACGCCCCCAGCGCCCCCCCGCAGAGCCAGCCCCTCGACCCGTTTCCCCAGCGCTCCCCCACAGAGCCAGCCCTTCGCCCCACTCCCGCAGCGCCCCCCGTAGAACCCGCCGCTCGCCCCGCTCCCCCAGCTCCCCGTTAGCCGGGCCTGGAGTCGCCAGAGACCCTCCCCCACAGTCAGACCCTACCCTCCAGCGCTGGTTACCTGGCGTTGTCTGTGTCTCCGGCGCTGGCAGAAGGTTGATCTGGACGGTGCCAACTGGGGGGGCCAGGACATCCCCAAACATGCAGGGTGGGGTCGGAGGGTGCTCGGCTTTCACTCCCATCACGTCGTCTGGGCTTGCGGCCTGGGGGGAGCCACATCTGAGTGTGGGGGCCAGGGGGGCACAGAGCTGAGTGCGGGGGCTGGGGACGTCTCCCACGCCAAGGGGGGGGGGGCACGTACCTGTCTCGTGGGGTCGGGGGTCATGGAGAGGATGGAGGAGTCTGAACTGTGGGAGGAAGCGGGGGACACGGGCTCAGACTTCACCTGGAGGTCTGCACGGGGGATGGAAAGGGGTTAGAAAATAGTCCCTCACAGACATCCCTCCGCCCCCTACATCCACCCGCCCCAGGGCAGCCCCATTGCACACAAATATCCCTCCGCCCCCTACGTCCACCCGCCCCAGGGCAGCCCCATTGCGCATGGATATCCCTCCGCCCCCTACGTCCACCCACCCCAGGGCAGCCCCATTGCACACAAATATCCCTCCGCCCCCTACGTCCACCCACCCCAGGGCAGCCCCATTGCACACAAATATCCCTCCACCCCACCTCACCATCTGTCCCTAATGCTGGGAGGAGGCTGGGCTCACCCGGGAAGAGGCTGGTTGGCATCTGGTCCCACGGCGGCTCTGGCGGGCTGGTGTCCATGCCCAGGTCGAAACCGTCGTCAAACTGCAGGGGGAAGGGGGGAGATGAAGGGTGAAGTGGGGGGTAACCTGTGTATCTCTCCGGGGTCCAGTCCGGCAGCCCCCAGTGTACAGAGGGCCCTGCTCTGAGGGGGAGCTGGGGCCCTGCTGCCGGGCGGATGGGGAGTGGGGGTGCTATGCAGCAGGCGGGTCACTGGGGGCACCCCCCAGGCAGGGCAGGGTGAGGGAAGGACTCACCAATGCACTGGGCTCAAGGCAGGGGAAGAGGGCGGCGGGCTCCTCCCCATCGTCCAGGCAGCTGTAGAGAGCCGCATCTGGGGGCGGAAAGAAAGGGGGAGTCAGTCCCCTTCCTCCAGGCCCCTCCCCCTCCAGCACCCAGCCCCTCCCCACTCCTCCAGCCCCTCCCCCTCCGGTACCCATCCCCTCCCACTCCCCCAGACTCCGCCCCCTCATGCACCCACCCCTCCCCCGCAAGCTCCACCCCCTCTGGAACCCAGCCCCTCCCCACTCCTCCAGCCCCTCCCCCGCAAGCCCCACCCCCTCTGGCACCCAGCCCCTCCCCACTCCTCCAGCCCCTCCCCCTCAGGCACCCAGCCCCTCCCACTGTTCCAAGCCCCTCCCCCTCCGGTACCCATCCCCTCCCACTCCCCCAGACTCCGCCCCCTCATGCACCCACCCCTCCCCCGCAAGCCCCTCCCCCTCCGGCACCCAGCCCTTCCCCCTCCTACAGGCCCCGCCCCTCAGGCACCCAGCCCCTCCCCCTCCTGCAGGCCCCGCCCCCAACGAGTCTCCAGCCCTTCACCCCACCAAGCTCCTGCCAGTCAGACCCCCTGGCCCCGCCCCGCCGCTCCGCAGACCCCTCCCTAGCCCCGCCCACCCCAGTCCTCGCTGCTCAGCAGGTTGTCGGCCAGGAACCGGCCCGAGTCGTGGAGCAGCAGCAGCTCCGGGGCCAGCGCCGCCATCTTCCCCCGGCCCCGCCCCCTCCGGCTGCCATGACAACCGCCCCACCCAATCGCAGCGCCGAGTCAGCCCGCGCCAGCCAATCACAGCGCGCGGGAGGCGGGGCCCGAGCGAGATCAGCCAACGGGGAAGCGACTTCCGCTCCGATCTTCGGGAATGGGCGTGGCCGCGGCAGCATGGCGAGAGCGGCGCACGCGCGGAACGGGGATACTGGGGCGGCGCGCAGCACGGCGCATGCTCACAGGGCGGGAGCCTCTCCCTGCGCCTGCCTGAGTTATAGGAGCCTGAGACGCGTCTGCGTGAGTTTGGAGACAGCGACGCGCATGCGCGAAGCGGGGTGGCCATGTGGCGTGTGGACAGCACTCCAAAGAGCGCATGCGTAGCTTTGAGACCCCTCCCCCAACTGCCCCCCCCCGCCGAGTGCTACGCGTGCGCAGCGACGCACTGCCTCCTGGGACGTGTAGTTCCGGTCCCCCTTAAAGGGCCAGTAGCGACTCATGCTCCAGGCCGGCTCCCAGAGGGACTCAGCCACCCCCCACCTATAGGCCAGAGCCGGTGGGTGAGGTCACATCCTTCTGTGATGTCATCAACATTCCGTATGCTGACATCACCACCCTCCCTCTGTGACATCACACTATACCAACAGCACAAGCAGTGATGTCATAAGGCTGCATGACATCATCAGTTCACCCCCTCGAGGGAACATGCCCCTGCCCCATTCCCCGCCCCCCTGAGCCAGCCAATCCCTGCCCTGGGGCCGGATGGGAACCGACACCCCTATATGGGACAGGCCCCTGCCCCGCTGAGCCAGCCAGTCCCTGCCCTGGGGCCAGATGGGAACCGACGCCCCCTAGATGGGACAGGCCCCTGCCCCATTCCTCATCCCCCTGAGCCAGCCAGTCCCTGCCCTGGGGCCGGGTGGGAACCGATGCCCCCTAGAGGGGACAGGTCCCATGCCCCATTTCCCACCCCCCTGAGCCAGCCAGTCCCCCAGCAGCTCCAATCCAACAAGAACCCCTCACTTGGCACTTTTGCACAGTGGCCTCTGAAACCTATTTATTCTGAATTCCTTTTTGGGTTACAGTGGGGTCGGGGGGGTCGGTGTCTCGGGTCCGTCCGCTGCCCACGACTCTGGGAGTTGCCAGATGAACCGTCATTCGCCCCTCGCCAACCCCACTGTGAGCCTCAGGAGGGCCGTCCCGGTGCCCCCCGTTCTGCTGGGACCTGGGGAGCGCGCCCCGGGGGGACAGAGTCCAACGGAGCCACCACTGGCCGAGGGGTTACATCTTTCTTGTCACCTATGGGGGGAAGAAAGAGGGGTACCTAGAGAGTTACTTGGGGTGTTAACAGGCACCCCCAAAATCCACTGTACTCCCAACATTGTCCCTGACAGTCTCCCAGTGGGATGTGCTCTCCCAATATATTGGGGGGGGGGCAGAAATCACTGATATATTGTGGGGTGTGCTAGGAGGTAGCACCTTGAAGCAGTGAAAGTTTTGGGGTGCACACAAAGAGCAGAACAGAGGAGTTTCAGGATGGTAGAACGGAGGTGATTTCCAGATATGGCAGGATATGAGGGAGCTAGAGAGATTGCATTTTGCAAAGATGTGGAGTGATTTTGGGGTGCAGAATTGGGAACCCCAGAGATTAGGAGGCATTTTGTGGTGCAGGGAGACCAAAAATCAGGGTACACAAGAGTGGGAAGCCCTAACAAAGATCTGGATGGTGTAGGTCAGTTTGAGGGTTTGGAACAAGAGACTCCCCCAAATGATGGAAAGATTTGGGGATACCGAATAGATGCAGAACAGGTCAGTGGGCCCCAGAAAGATGTTAAAGGATTCTGGGGTACAGCTTCAGTTTTGAGGTGTAGAAGAGGGAGAATCTCTACAAAGAGATCTGAAATTTGGGGGGAGGGGGGTAGAATCAGGAAGACACTTTATGAATATAGAGAATTTTGGAGGTTCGGAAAAGGGGGAATCTCTGCCCATAGATAGGAGACTTTGGGGGTGGACAAAGGGGCCCTCACAAAATCAGGGAGGGATTGGGAACAAAATGGGTGAAAACTGGGGTGCAGGACAAGGTGAAGGCCAAATTAGGGGTACAGAACAGCTACATATTGGAAGTGTAGATCAGGGAGTTTTGGGGGTGAGCTGTAGGGAGGTGGGGGAGATTGGGGGGGGACTCAGGGTCCAGCCAGTGGGGTGCACTCTCTTGTTTAGGTAGGGGTGGCTACATAAAGGGGTGCCCTGTGAGTGTATTATGGGTGAACTGGGGTGCTGGAAAAGGGGGTTCAGCATTAGAATGGGGGAGTTTGGGGTGCTGATAATGGTGTGATCCAGTGAGGGAATTCAGGACCATTTGGGGGCATGAACTGGGGACCCCAAGAGTTGGGGTGTAGCGACAAGAGGGCATAGGAGTTAGGGGGTACAGGCGTAGAGGGGCAGCTTCCTGGGGACGGAGGAGGGGATTTTAGGGTGCAGAACTGGGGATCCTTCGAGGGCAGACTGGGAAGCTTTGGGGTGCGGTTCACAGGGGTGGGGCACCCCACAGGGACTCAGATTGCTTCCAAGGGGGCTGCGTGGGGACAGGGGCCCACCAGCAAAGAAAGGGGGTGCACTTACCTAGGTCCTTGCGCCGGCTGGGGGGCAGGGGCGCCCCAGGGTCGTCCCGACGCAGAGCCGAGGCGATTTGTCGCCCCACATAGCGGCAAGCTGCTGGGAGAGAGACGGGGGCTCATTGAGGGGTGATCTGGGGGCGCAGTGCACCCCCTTTTCCATCCCCCCGGATCCCTACTCGCCAGCACCCCCCAGACCCTGCCTAGTGCCCCCCGGGCCCCCCTTCCCACCATCCCCCCCTCTGTCCCGGGGCCCCCGGGCCCCCCACTCACCCCCAATGACCAGTCAGACCATGCCGGACCCAGCTGGGCGCTGACGTAAGCGGCATGGAAATAAAGCGGGAGGGGGAGGGGGGAGGAAGAGCAGGGGATTCTGGGAAATGTAGTCTTCAACGCTGCCCCCTCTGCTAGCCTACCCCCCCCCCCCGGACGCCTGGGTTCATAACCCCTCCTCCCCCTCGCGAGTGTGGATCAAGGGGTGAACTAATGAACACTTAACCCTGTCTCTCCCGGATGCCTGGATTCGCACCCATCCCTCGCCCTGAATTAGGGGGTACAGAGCCCCCCCAAAAACATCTTCCCTGGACACCTGGGTTCACACTCCTGAATTAGGGGGACGGTCTCCCCTCCCTTTACCCCATCTTTCCCTGGCCCCCGGGGGGGGTTCCCACTCCTGCTTCCCCTCCCCCTGGTCCCGCACAGGTGGGGTACGATCTACCCCCCAACCCCAGCACCCCAGGACCCACCCTCCCTATCCCCCCATTCCTGCCCTCCCCCACCCCTGCATCCCCCCCTCTTCCCCATCCCCCCCAACAGCCCCTTCTGCCCCATCCACATCTGCACCCCCTTTGCCCCCCTCAATCTTGGGGTGCATCCCCGATCACCCCAGCTGCAACCCAGCCCCCCCCACGCAGGGTCAGCCACCGGCAGCCATCTTGTTTGGCCAACCCCAGTGCCCAGGGGCAGAGGGATTTGGGGGGGATACCCCCCCCCAGCGCCCCCAATCGTTTGCTGCTTCTTAACACACTGATGGAGCTCGGGGTCCCAGCCCCCTTTCCCTTGTGGGGGGCAGGGAGGGTCTGGGCCTGGCCCCTCCCCACACGGCTCAGCCTGGCTAATCGAGGCAGGCTGCGGCCTAGCGGGGCCGCCCCCAGGAAGTGATGCAAAGACAAGGGGGGGCGGCGGGGGGAGGCCGGAGGAGCGGGGCCAGAGCGCAGCTGGATCCCCCCAGTCTGCGCCCCCCGCCCGGGGTGAGGGGGGGCCAAAGGGGCACAGCTGGGCGGGGAGGAGCGAGGGAGCAGGGCAGAGACAGACAGCACAGCCGGAGCGGGGAGGGAGCCAGGACTCCTGGGTTCTCTGTGTGGGGGCTGGGAGCCAGGACGCCTGGGTTCTCTGTGTGGGGGCTGGGAGCCAGGACGCCTGGGTTCTCTTGAGGGGGGAGGGCTTGGAGCCAAGACTTCTGGGTTTTCTCGAGGGGAGGGGCTGGGAGCCCAGATGCCTGGGTTCTTGGGGCGGGGTCTAGCAGATTAGGGGAGGGGCTGGGAGCCAGAACACCTGGGTTCTCTGGCTGGGGGTCTAGTGGTTTACTGGGAGGGCTTGAAGCCAGGACTCCTGGGTTCTTTTAAGGGGGATCTACTGGGTTAGAGGGGGGGCTGGGAGCCCGGATGCCTGGGTTGTCGTGGGGGGTGGGGGGGTGTCTAGCAGATTAGGGGAGGGGGCTGGGAGCCAGGATGCCTGAGTTTTCTTGGGCGGGGGGGATGGGAGCCGGTCTCCTGGGTTCTTTGGGGGGAGTGGTCTAGTGGATTAGTGGGGGGACTGGGAGACAGGACGCCCAGGTTCTCTTGAGGGGGGAGGGCTGGGAGCCAGGACTCCTGGGTTCTCTTGGGGGCGGCTGGGAGCCAGAACACCTGGGTTCTCGGGGGGGTGGGGGTCTAGTGGTTTACTGGGGGGGCTGGGATCCAGGACTCCTGGGTTCTTTCTGACCCGTTTTCCCTGCCCTCTTGTTCACAGGAGCTGCCCGTCCCTGAACCCCCCAACCCTGCCTGGCTTCACCTCTTGGGGGTGCCGAGCCAGACCCCCGCACTCCCCGCTTGGCCAAGGGCAGATGGAGGCAGCAGCAGTAGCCAATGGGAAGGCAGAGGGCAGCGGAGCGGCCAATGGGATGAGTGGTGCCAGCAGAGGCGCTGAGCCCCAGGGCGCAGGGCCAGAAGAGGACCAGAGAGAGAACCTGGAGGCGCCCAGTCAGCCAGCGGACGCCTGGGTGGCACCGGACGGCGCCTTCGCCAAGCAGATCCTGCAGCCGGGGGCGGGACTGGACAAGCCGACGCTGGGCGCCCTGTGCCAGGTCTTCCTGGAGGCGCCGCCGGGGGCGCCCCTGGGGTACCCAGCCAACCGCTGGGCCCAGCTGGAGTTGGGGGAGGGGGACGGCGCCTGGGACGGCCTGGTGGACGCTTGCCTGGAGACCATGGGGCTGGGGGAGCGGGCCGAGCTGCGGGGCCCGGACGGGGCCGTCCTGGGGCTGCACCTGGCCTCCTTCGCCCCGGCCCCGGAGCCCTGGCAGCTGGACCCAGCGGAGAAGTGGGCGCTGGCCCTGCGGCACAAGGAGCGCGGTTCGGAGCGCTACCGGGCTGGTGAGGTGGGGGCGGCCGCCCGGCGCTATGCCCGGGCCCTGCAGCTGGCCATCGCCGCCGGCCCGGTGCCCCCGGACCCAGAGCACGCCCGCCTTCGGGCCGACCTGCACGCCAACCTGGCCGCCTGCCAGCTGCGGCTCACCCAGCCAGCCCACGCCGCCCGCAACTGCACCAAGGCGCTGGCGCTGTGGCCCCAACACGCCAAGGCCCGGTACCGCCGCGGCCTGGCTCGCGCCGCCATGAACGACCTGGAGGGGGCGGCCGAGGATTTCCGGGGGGTGCTGGTGGCTGAGCCGGGGAACACGGCCGCCCGCAGGGAGCTGGACAGGGTGGGGCAGCGGGCGCGGGAGCGGGACGCCTGCCTGGCTCGGGCCATGAGCAAGCTCTTCTCCTGAGCGCGGCAGGGACAGAGCCTGGACCCTGCATGTGGGGTGGGGCAGGGGGCCCTTCCCCTCTATGGGGCGCCGGCTCCATCCGGCCCCAGGGCGGGGACTGGCTGGCTTGGGGGAGGGAATGGGGCCCGGGGCCACAATAATTGTCAGTTTCGATAATAAAATTAATTTCTTAAAATACAAAGAAATCTTGTTGTTGAAACAAGAAAATCACGAAGTTGGGAGCAGGTCAAAGGTTGTGGTCCGGCCGTTCCGATTGGCTGCTGGTTGGACAGCAGGATGTGCCGGGGTCAGGGGGCAGCGCCCTGGGGTCAGAGGTCACTGGGAGTTGAGGCCTTTTCCTGTTTTAGTCAGACCCCTGGTTGGGCGAAGTGCTGGGCTCATTGACCACAGGTCAAAGGTCAGAGGTTACAGCCATTAGCTGAGGTGACAGGTGTCAGCCAAGCCCATTAACCGAGACGCAGCCTGCAGGGTTAGGGTCAGAGGTCAAAGGTCACACATGGCAACATTGGCCTATACCATTTGCTCGCACCCAGGTCGAAGGCCTGAGGCCTCAGGTGCCATTTTGGGTCAAAGGTCATCAATCCAGGGTAGTTGGCCAATCCCTGGTGGGGTTGGGTCAAAGGTCAAGTGTGGATGGAACCAAAGAAAAGTGGCACGTGTAGGGTCAAAGGTCACAGGAAGTGGCCAGGTCCATTGGTTGTGCTCTGGGTGGCCTGGGTCCAAGGGCAGGTGCTGGGGAGGGAGCCAATCAGGCTGTCAGGTCAGAGGTCATGGACACTGGCTGACACTCCAACTTCAGCTCCGTGGGAAGGTCACAGGCACCGTTACCGTGGCCGGGTCAGAGGGCAGAGGTCACGGAGGGATGCTGGCAGGCAGCAGGGCTCCTTCTGCAGCCCCCAGCCGCTGCGCCGGTTAATGGGGCCTGTCCCAGGGCATGGGGGGCCCCACATGGGCCAGGCGGCCGGAGGTGCGGCAACCCCAAATCCACCTCGGAGCCCTTCACCCACGCCTGGGAGAGCGCCCCTCACTCCCGACCCGCAGCCCCGGTCAGCCCTGCCGGTGCCCCTCACTCCCGACCCGCACGCCCCGGTCAGCTCTGCCGGTGCCCCTCACTCCCGACCCGCAGCCCCCGCCAGCCCGGCCCTGCCCCCCCCAGCTCTGCTTGTCTGTGACAAGTCCCCACCCCCCAGCTGCCTCCCCCTCCCTGGCCCTACATGCCGGGAGCCTCACATGGTCCCTCCATCCTGCCGCAGCCAGGCAACCGTCACCATGGATACATCAAAGCTCCAGGATGCTGGGGGTGGATGGGGGCCCTACAGGGACACAGAGAAGGGAACTGAGCGAGGGGGAGGGGGACTCGGGATGGGGGGCTGGGGGAGGTATCCGGGAGCCAGGGAGGGAAAGCGGGGGTGGGGGGACATGGGGGCAGACGGAGCCGCACAGGGAGGCTGCTCAGGGACCAGGGGAGCAGCGAGGTGGGTCAATGGGGCTGGGGGAGGGATATCGGGGCCGGAGGGGGGCGACGGGGTGGGGAACAGGGGGGCAGCACTACGGGCTTCGATATTTCCTTCTGTCACCTGTGTAACACCCCCACCCACTGCCCCGCTCCCCCAGCCAGCCCCCTTCCACCAGGCCGGGGGGCAGCCAGCGCCCCCTAGAGGGGACAGGCCCCTGCCCCATTCCCCACCCCCCTGAGCCAGCCCGTCCCTGCCCTGGGGCCGGGTGGGAGCTGACGCCCCCTAGAGGGGACAGGCCCCTGCCCCATTCCCCGCCCCCCTGAGCCTGCCAGTCCCTGCCCTGGGGCCGGGTGGGAGCCGACGCCCCCTAGAGGGGACAGGCCCCGCCTCATTTCCCGCCCCACGCCCTGCCCCCCCGATTCCCGTGCAGCCGGTCAGGGCCAGGGACGAGGCTGGAGTCGTTATCAATAGAGATTTATTAACCCAGGTGACTTGCAAACAGGCCGACAGGAGAGGAATCGGGGGCCGGATCGCACAGGGACCAGGGCCATGTAGGGGGGCTACGATGGACCATACAAAACTGCACCCCCCCCAGCTCTGCCGGCGCCCCTCACTCCCGACCCGCAGCCCCCCACTAGCCCAGCACACCTGTCCCGTTCTGGGGTCTCTGCAAGGGATGCCCAGATGTCTAGGCTTTGGGGCAGCGTGCTGGGTGGGGGTGACTTGGGGGGACCCCAATAATGAACAGTGTCTCCCCCACCTCAGTGATTCTGCCCCCAGACTTCAAACACCCTGAACCCCAGAAATGCAGCATTGGACCCTCAAACTTCTCCCCTCCCTGCCCCCCACCGTCCCCCTGAACCAGGAATCCCCCCATAGGGGGGCAGAGGTGGCGTCCCAGAGGGGCGGCATCACTCACTGGGGGGGGGCATGAGAAAAGAGGGGTCTCATTGTGGGGGGGGGCAGTGTCTTAAAGGGCCAGTGTCACAGATTTGGGGGGCTCGTGCTGGGGGTCACAGCTTAGCAAGGGGGTTATTTCATTGGTATGTACAGCTGGGGGCTCTGTGATATATTGGGGTTTGCGCTCCCCCTCCAATCTGGAGCAAAATGTTTATGGGGGAGGAGCTAAAAGGGGAAGGGGCTGTTGGGAAGAAAGGGGGCGGAGTCTGTGCTGAAGAAGGCGGAACCAATTGGGGAGAAGCTAATTGGGGCTTTGGGGGAGCAATCAAGGCATGAAGATATTGGGGGAGGTGAGGGGGCGGAGCCTGATATGAAGGGGCGTGGTCTGATGGGGAAGCTCAGGAATATATTTAGGGCAAGCCAGGGGGTGTGGCCTGAGCCAATGGGGCGTGGCCTAATCATGTGGGAGTGGAGTCAGACCCAGGGTTGGGGGCAGAATACGGTGCCTGCAAAGCATTGTGGGTTGTATTCCATTGGAGGGTGTGAGGCCAGGGGGTGGAGCTTGTTCCTAGGGGCCAGAGCCAGAGGTGCTGACGGGAAAATGACAGTTGCAAAGGACTATGGGAATTGCTCAGTTGGGGGGGGGCTGTGGGGCTGCTGAGGGGCGGAGCCAAAGATGCCAGTGGGGAGGGATGGGGGGCAATGGTTACAAAGGATCATGGGAAAGGTCCTGCTGGGCAAGGGAGGTGTTGTCATGGATACAGGGGTGACTGAGGGACAGGGGCGGAGCCAGGAGAGGGTGGGGCTGCAAAGGCTCCTGGGTATCCAGCAGGGTGGTGGCTGCAGGGGATTGTGGGTGTCGCTGGCTAGAGCAGGGCTTGCAAAGCCTCATGGGTATCCTGAGGGACAATACCTGCAGGGACTGTGGGTCTGGTGGGCGAGGTCTGCAAGGGATTGTGGGTAATGTTGGCACTGGCTGCAGGGGATTGTGGGTAATGGCATCTGCAGGGGATTATCAGACTGGTTGAGGGGTGGGGCCGGCAGTGGACATGGCCTGGTCGCTAGGCGGGGCCCGGCTGGCAGGCAGGACAGGTGGTGGGCGGGGCAGTCGGTGGGCGGGGCTGAGGCTTGGGGTCCCAGGCTTTGTCGTGGTGCTGGGCGGGGCCCGGTTAGCAGACAGGGCAGGCGGTGGGCGGGGTCTGGTCGCTGGGCGGGGCCCGGTTGGCAGGCAGGGCAGGCGGTGGGCGGGGCCTGGTCACTGGGCGGGGCCTGGTTGGCAGGCAGGGCGGGGCTAGGGGTCCCAGTTGTTGTCGTGGTGCTGGGCGGGGCCCAGTTGGCAGGCAGGGCAATCGGTGGGTGGGGCCGCCAGGGGGCGGGCCCATGGCTAGGGGTCCCAGTCGTTGTCGTGGTGCTGCGCGGCGATGATGATGACAACGGTGAGGATGGTGCACAGGACCATGGCGGCGATGCCCACGGCCAGGCTGATGAAGGAGAAGTTCCGGGCCTCGCGTGACGCGATCTCGGCTGACACGATGTCCCCCCGCGCCACGGCCGTCCGTACCTGGGGGGGACACGGCATTGGGGGGGACGTGTTGTGCTCCCCGTCGCCTCCCCCGTCGACCCCTGCCCCCCGTCACCCCCACGCCCCCCACCCTCCCTGCCCCCCCACATAGTCCAGCTCCCCTCTGCTGCCCCCTCGCCCCCGACCTCCCACATGCCCCCTGTCCGCATTGCTCCCCATTCCCAGTCCCCCACTGCTCCCCGCCCCGCTCCCGCTGACCTGCACAGCTTTGATGATGGCGATGATGCCCGTGGGCCAGAAGCAGCAGATGGTGGTGAGCACTGCGATGGGCAGGTAGTCGTGGGGCGGCCGACGCGGCTCCAGGATGGCGATTCCTGGTGGCATCTGTGGCGGGGGGACCCCAGGGGGAGGGTTGCCAGGGGGGTACGGCTGCGGGGGGGTGGTGAAGAGAGCAAGAGTTAAACAGGAATCCACAGCCAGGTGGGAAGCCACGCCCACTTGAGTGAAGCCCCGCCCCCCACCAGCAGCAAGGGAAGCCCCATCCCAGGGAGGCCCCGCCTCCCACCAGCAGGGGAAGCCCCACTCCAGGGAAGCCCCGCCTCCCACCAGCAGGAGAAGCCCCACTCCAGGGAAGCCCCGCCTCCCACCAGCAGGGGAAGCCCCACTCCAGAAAAGCCCCGCCTCCCACCAGCAGGGGAAGCCCCACTCCAGAGAAGCCCCGCCTCCCACCAGCAGAGGGAAGCCCCACTCCAGAGAAGCCCCGCCCCCACCAGCAGAGAGAAGCCCCACTCCAGGGAAGCCCCGCCTCCCACCAGCATGGGAAGCCCCACTCCAGGGAAGCCCCGCCCCCACCAGCAGAAGAAGCCCCACTCCAGGGAAGCCCCGCCCCCCAGCAGGGGAAGCCCCGCCCCCCCGGGACTGCCCCACTCACCGTGCCTACAGGGTACACGGGGACGTAGGCTGTGCAGGGCTGCAGCTGCACAGGGTAGCCGGGGTGCATGTACCCCCCGATGGGCAGGGTCCCCATGGGCGGGTGCGTCTGGACCATGTACCCCTGGGGGGGGGCTTGAACTGGGTCTCCTGCATGTAGGTCGGGGGGCAAGCGCGGCAGGGTGGCTGAGTGGTGGTGGGGGGGCCGGGGTAGGGTGGCTGAGGTGGGGGGCGGCCGTGGCAGGGTGGCCGCACCCCCGAGGCGGGGCAGGGTGGCGGTGCCAGAGTGGGGGGGCAGGTGCGGGGGGTCATTGTAGCCGGGGATGAGGGGGGCATTGTTGGGGGCGTCAGGTGGGGGAGGGGGCGGCTGCAGTGGGGCGTTGTAGGGAGGGGGGGAGGTGTGGGGGCCAGAGTCCGGTAAGCCTGGGAAAGAAAGGGGGTAAGGTTAGAGACCCCCTTATATACACAGCGCCCCCTATATACGTACATAGACAGTGCCCCCTATATGCACGGCCCCCCTATGCACAGCCCCCCTCTATACACACACAGACAGCGCCCCCTATGCACAGCCCCCCTCTATACACACACAGACAGCGCCCCCTATGCACAGCCCCCCTCTATACACACACAGACAGTGCCCCCTATGCACAGCACCCCTCTATACACACACAGAGTGCCCCCTCGTCCTGGGGAGCTCCGGGGGCACCCACCCTAGAACAGGGGGCGCCGGTTCCCGGGGGTTCTCTCTCGTGAGCACCGATCCGGCGCCGCTCTCGTTTTTTAGGTCACCTTCCTCATTCACTCGGTCTATTTATAGAGGGAGACAGAGGAGACACAGAGCCCGGGGGTGGGAGCAAACAGCGAGAGATGGCGAGTTCCAGGATGTGTGTGGGGGGGGAGATGGATGGATGGATGACACCCCCACCCACACACACACACACAAAGCTCTGCTGGTGCCCCTCAATCCCACCCCACAGCCCTAGGCTCCCCCACGGTCCCTCCCCCCAGCCCGGCTCAAGGGTGTCATGGGTGGGGGTACAAATCGCTGGGCCAGGACTATGGCGAAAGGCTGGACTGGGCCGACGCGGGGGGGTGGGGGGGAGCGGCGTTAGGGGTTACGTCTACACGACAAAAATCAGCAAGGCTCAGAGTCTTGGTCTGGCTTGTGCTACAACGCTGCAAACGGCCGTGTAGGTGTTTGGGGCTGGGAGACCCCCCTGCCAAGCCCCCAAGGTTTCCAAGCCGCAGCCCGAATGTCTACACAGCGCTTTGAATGCTTGTGGGGCAGCATTTCACAACGCTGAAAGCCAGGATGAGCCAAATCAGCGGGCAGGAAGAATTTCATCAGAAAAACGTTAATGTTCATTAGGAATTGTTTGCTAGAGGCCCAAACCCACAATTGGGAAAGGAGGCCGAACTGGTTAAAAAATACAACCTGGCTTAGAGGGGAAGTGTAGGCAGCTATATAAAATAAAACATAACAAATTGAAACGAGGGGAAGATGATTGTAATGAATATGAATCAGAAACTAGGAATTGTAGAAAATTGATAAGGGAAGCAAAAGGACACACGGGAAACTCTTTGGCAGCAGAGTTAAGGACAATAAGGAGTATTTGAAATATATTACCAATACAAAGAATCCTGACAATGCTATTTGTCCATTACTAGATGGAAATGGTCGAATTATCGATAATAGTGCAGATCAGGTAGACGGGTTCAATAAATATTTCTGTTCTCTATTTGGCAAATAAAAGCCAGATGATGTAGTAGTCTCAGATGATCATGGTGAAGAATCACTTTCTATTCCACTAGTATTCAGGACGATGTTAAACAGCAGCTACTAAAGTCAGACATTTTTAAATCAGTAGGTCTAGATACCTTTCTTCCGAGAAGTTTAAAGGAGCTGGCTGAGGAGATCGCTGGATCGTTAATGTTGATATCCAACATGTCTTGGGCCAATCGGGAAGTTCCAGAAGATTCGAAGAATGCTAATGTTGTGCCAATATTTAAAAAGGGTCAATGGGGTGACCTGAATAATTAAAGACCCGTCACCGGACACTGATCCCAGGCAAGAGAATGAAACGTAGGCTATGGGGACTCCATTAATAAAGCATTAAACTAGCGTAATATATGTAATGCCAATGCGCAGGGGTTTATGGGAAATAGATCTTCTCAAACTAACTTGATATCTTTTTGTGATGAGGTTATAAATCTGGTTGATAAAAGTAATAGCTCGTCTTGGAAGGATCCTATTTCTACTGGTAAATGGTGATTTCACCACACGCACAAACCGATTCAAAGAGATTTCTACTGATCATAAACAAAATGTGCAGAGAGCTAAAGAAAGGAAAAAGCGCAGCTTGAGAACTGAATGGAGTTTGCTTTAAGAACATTGACTTTGGCTATTCGGGCATGCTGTTGGCGATTTCGGTTTGAATGGTTATCAATCATAGAATCAGAGACCTTGGCCTGTCCTCAGAGGTTAAGGAGAACAATTTACCTCCCTCCTCCTTGTAACAAAGCTTGAACTTTTTGAATCGTAACGTTAAATAATTCCTGTCTGACCGCCCTGATCATTACCAGCAACTACGAACGTGTACATCGATACACATTACACAATGCGTCACACCCATCATTTTGCGCAACTGTCAATATTTCAATTGATGAAAATATTTTAAAAATTAAAAACCAACGTGGATATTATCAAAAAGCAAAACTCGCCTTCTGCCCAGCCTACTGCTAGTGGTGATGTACGACACTCGGCCTTCCGTGCGGCGTCCGCCGCGGTACCGCGCGACATTGTGCAGAGTCAACCCGGATGGCACCGGGGCCAGCCATTCTCGGGGGAAGAAAGAAAGGCCCTGGCTGAATTCAATGAAGACAGGGCACAGCTGTGGCTTTGACACGGTATCCCCAGAGGTACTACAGCATCTTGGGAAGACACCAGCCAGCACTGCTTGGCATCTTCATGTCACTCGGCGTGCGTGACACCCACAAGGTGGCGGAAAGCCAAGGTGAAGAGACCACCATCGTCAGCAGTGTCACAGGCACCCGCAGAGCCTCCCGCCCAGGGCCGAACAGCGTTGGCGTGGCGCTCCGGCTGATTTCCACCCAAAGCGAAGCACCGCTGACCAGTGCTGGCCCTCGCTATGTGCACTGAGAATGGCTTTCCAGAGAAGACGAAAACCGGGCTCTTTGTGTGACCTGACAGCAGCCGGTGACACCAGCCGGCACACCGGTCGGCTGACAAGATACCACAGGTTCTTCCTCGAAGGTGGCTTGTCATCGTGGCAACCGAGCTGCTGCTCCAAGGTCGATGTTTCCAGGTGGCCGTGGGCCACCACAAAGTGCCTGGAGAGTCCAGCAAACCAGACTCTCCCAAGGCTGGCACCACGTCTAATGCATCCACCACGGACCAGCCGGCTCGTGGGCCTCAAGGGGCCGTGACTTGCAAAGCCTGAGGAGGGCCTGAAGAGTCATTGGGCTGCCACCCGTGACTGGTGCGAGAAAGAGGCCACTGCTCCGTGATAGAAGACGCGCCCGCCACCGAGTGTAGCAGGACTCCTACCGGGACCGTGCTGCACACCCCCAGCAGCAGCTCACCGGGGTGGACAGCTGGGAGGGAGCCCCAGCCACTCCCGGGAACTCCCACACCAAAGACCTGGCTTTGGGCTCTGGCGCCAGCGGCACACGGTCAGGTGGGGCGCGGTTCGCTGGGCCAAGGCAAACCCCGGAGAGCGGGACCAGCGAAGAGGCAGGGCCCGGATCCCGAGGGTCCGGTGGGGCGCAGGGTATCTGGGCCAGAGCCAACAATCTGCATGTCAATCCAGCTCCATGTGAACGTCTCCATTGAGGAGCGGAGCATGGCGGCCATAGGGCCAGGCTGGGGGACGCAGGGACGCCGACCCAGGCTGTGGGCGATGGTGGAGAATCAGCCGCCGGGAGCTGCCGGGGCGGCGCTGGGGCGAAGGGCGAAGGCCGGCCTGGGCCGTGGCCGGGGGGATCTCGAGTAGGAGCCGGGAGGGGGTTTTCCCGCGGCTGGGTCCTGGCTCCCGTTCCGGTGCCCGTGATTCGAGGAGGACGTGGGTCAATCGGGGAGGAGCCCCCAGGACGATGAAAGGGTTAGAAAACCGGCCTCCGAGCGAGACCCCCAGCTCGGTCCATGAGCTGAGCACGGCCGGCGAGGGGGGGACGTTTCCCCGGCTGGAGGCACCGACCGGGGGAACCAAACACCCCCCGGGGTCCTCAGGCCGGCAGGGGATCGAACCCCAGCATGGGAACAAGGGGTCAGCTTGTGCCAGGATGGGAATTACCCCCCCACCTCTTCTCCCATCATCCCCTGCTCCGCCTGCCCCCATCCCTGCTCCCCCCACCTGTTCTCCCATCATCCCCTGCTCCGCCTGCCCCCATCCCTGCTCCCCTCACCTGTTCTCCCATCATCCCCTGCTCCGCCTGCCCCCATCCCTGCTCCCCCCACCTGTTCTCCCATTATCCCCTGCTCCCGCGCCCCATCCCTGCTCCCCCCACCTGTTCTCCCATCATCCCCTGCGCCCCCCACCCCCATCCCTGCTCCCCCCACCTGTTCTCCCA